CACCGTTGTCGGTTTTGACCCGGGCCCCGCCGACCTCGCCACGGAAACCAAGCTTCGGTCACCGTCCGCCTCGCGCACCGCGGAATTCGCATGTCCTCTCATGCCGAAGGCTATTTACGTGAAGCTGGATGACTGCGATCTCCAGCCCTTGCCACCAGCCGTGTGCCCGGAGCATCCCGAGCGCAGCTCAACGTGCACTCGCTGCGCCAGTGCTGCACAGCCTGGCGCCATGGCCATCTGGCCTAGGCCGCGCACGTTCAAACACTTCTACTCACCAACGGAGAAAGCCAAATACGTCATAGTCTCACGGGCACAGATGCCGCTGATGCCGGCGGCGGCCGTCTCGCTTTACTCGATGCAGGGCACTGCGGCAGATCCCGGTCTGGTGGCCTACTGGTTCTTCCCGCAGCGATGCTCCGACGCCGTCCGATGGCTGATCGTCTACGTCATGCTCTCACGGCCTCGCTCACTTGCCACCCTCAAGTCCGTGAATTTGACGAGGCAGATCCGCGACGTCATAGAGCAGGGTCCGCCCGAGGATCTCGTCGCCAACTTCGATCGACTTTTCCGCGAAAAAATCGAGGCGACGAGGGAGCTGGCACGAGAGGCCGCGCGTGCCTGCGGCCTCCTGCCAGAACTCTCTTGAGCGACGCACCCCAGCAATGCCGCGCAGCCTGCAGCCACATCCGGGCATCATGGGTCGGCGCCACAACAACTTCTACAGCAGTAGCCACTCGACGACGACGGCGACGAACACGATCGCAGGGGGGCGAAGGGGTTTTGCGCGGAGGTGTGGGCATGGGAGCCACCGACCCTGCGATGTACCAAGAATTTATGGACTAACGACCTCACCACGACCGTGTGTTCATCACCCGCATCATCTTTCCATGGCGACCCGCGACGGCCGCGACATTCTTCGTAGCGGCTCATTCTTCGTAGCGGCGGGGCTGCATATCCACGGCGCTGCATGGCCTGTGGCGTTTCGCTACCCGTCCCTCGTTAGCATCCAACAGGTAGACCCACATGCAGCATGGTCATCATGTAGACGTAGTTGCCCCCCGCTTGCACGCGCTTCCTAGGAGCAGGAGAACGGCTGTTTGCTCGCGGCAAGGCGTATCCGCGGTGCTGCGCAGCCCGCGGTCGCTGGATGGCGTTCGCCGCGGCATGACAGAGCATTGCGGCATGACAAAATGCATGACAAGATGTGCTTCGCTCCGCATCCCCCGCCAGCTCCCCATCCGATTGTGCATGTTGTATTCGAAATTCGTTTCGGGGCCACAGGGGGCCCTGCGCGGTTTTGGCGGGGGGCTTGTCCCCCCCTTGTCTCTTCCGGATACTTTGCCCCTCCGGGTTCCGGTGCCATTGTGCCTCAAGCTCTAGACGTGATCAGCCTCATCGGTGACTCAGATGGCCAATCATGCTGGCAGCGGGGGCATGGAGTTGCAAGATGTCTGCCAGCTGAATGGAAAAACCTGCAATGTCTGCCAGCAAGGTGGAACAACCTGTCATGTCAGCCAGCAGAGTTGAACAACTTGCCACGCTAAGCAAATGCTGGCTGTTTTCGCGCACGAACTCCATTGATGCGCTGGAAACATTACAAACGCGCCACCTACCGGCAACGGTGTTGCAGTGTCTTGTTGAACGCTATAGCAGGACGGCGATGTCTCTGATTTGCTCTGCGTGCGAGGTCTCCATATCAACCGCGATGCGAAATTCAGCTCGAGCTTGTGCCTCAGAGGTCGGACAGAAACTACTGCGTTGTGCTGAAGCATTTGCCGGCAAAGACTACCAAGGACGGCCCGTAGATAGCTTGGGCCAATGGCATCAGGGAGTGGCCATGCAGCGGACGTGTCGGTGGGAACCATGGCGCGGCACCGCTGCTCAGGCAACAGAGACCGCGGTCGCGGAGTGTACCGGCCAGCCCGAGAAGCAATTGCATCGAATATTTGAGAGGTGCCGCGTAGCCCTGCCGGGCTCACGCGAGAAGACCCGTGCTGCGCAGCCGGTCCGCCAAAGTAAAAAGCGGCGCGTATCAACCATGCGCCCCGCCACCAACAGTCTCTCACCAGCGGCGCCGGCGACTGATGTTGCGATGCCACTCGGATTCACAGAGAGCAAGGCCAGTGCTGCACAGCCTGGCCCACCGCAAGTCGCGGCCATCATTGCAGGTGCCGACTCCAGTACCAATGTTGTTCAACCTGGCTCAGCAGCAGCATCCGCGCCAGCGCCAGTGCCAGGAGAAGTCGTCGACACCACTACCACGGGCCCTAGTGTTGCACAACCTGGACCAGGCAGAACGCTGCAGCACTTGTGCACGAAGTACCAGATCACCGCGTTCCAACGACCCTTCTACTTGCTCATGATTATGAAACTACTCCTGGTTCAGTGGGGTGACCACGCGGAACTCTTGCTGCGAACGTCCTGGTCGACAGCCCGGGGTGGAGGCAAAGTCATCAACGCCTTGCTCTTTAACGGGGAGCGCATCGTGCCAGAGAGCGCTGTTCATA